GACTCTCCAGCTCGCCGTCAACTGTGTTCTGTGTGCCACCTGGGTGCACTGATCATTGACTAACCGCTGTTGCTGTCGTGCCGACCAGTGCCCCTACGCGAGCGACTTGGCAATTGTGTTATGGGCCGCAGACGTCGATACGCAAGCGCCAACACGACCAAGAACAGCAAGGTGCGCGCGAACAGCTGTTTGCAGAGTGACCGGAAGTCGTAAATTGTCATTAGGCGAATTGATTGATTTGTGGGGTTTAACGACCCAAAACCACTATATGATTATGAGAGATGCCGTAGTAGAGGACTCTGGAAATTTTGACCACCTGGGGTTTTTTAACGAGCACCCAAGTCTGAGCACATGAGCCTACAACATTTCGGCCTCCATCGAAAATGCAGCCGCCACAGCCGGGATTCGATCCCGCGACCTGCAGGGTCAGCAGCTGGGTATCTTAGCCACTAGACTCGAGCTGGCCAATCGCCAGCATCGAGAGTAGTGGCGTCATCAAGTTTCACTGGTGATGTCACACATGTCAGTGGCGAGAATGACGAAGACCTGGAAAGGAGAAGGTATTGTTTTTTCCGAAATTACGGCGTGCCCGGTACTTGTAGCGCTGCGGCGTGTGGCATCGTTGATCGCAACAGGATCCTGCACACAATGCACTTGTTTACTTGAAATGTTTGGGGAAATATCGGAGGGGGTTCGAGGCCCTTTAAGTTAAGTGCACAAAAATACATGCGCTGCAGTAGGACATTCTTAAAATGATCCCGATGATGTCAGACAAACTGCCCACAATTATTCACTAGTAATCGATCTAGCTGCACTAAATAAAAGACCTTCCTTGCATCAAGAGAAGTAATAAAATGCTCCTTGTTTGTTTCTGTTTGATTCATGAAAAAAAGGACCGCTGAATGGTGCGAGCGGTTCAAAAATTCAGTTTTCGCGTGGTTAAACTGGACAGGTCGGGCCATCTAGCGGGACCCAGTTGAACCAAGCACGCCTGCAATATTGAAGGTCATGGCTAAAAATTGTTCAATGGTCGTGGTTGCTGCTGTGGCTCCCCCTACTTTCTCTCTGCTGTTACTACATAGTAACCTTGTTATAACAAACTTGCATCTTACATAGAAATAAGTTTTGAACACTATTTTTCATTTATTTCATTACAAACGATATTTTGTTATATCTGGTTTCGTTATAACGAGTGTATAGTGTCGGCAGTCACGCAATAAAGCCGGGCAATGTTGTGCACGGCAACAGTGACATCAGGCGTTCCATTAAGGCGGGTAATTTGAAGTGCGCTAACCCGATGCAGACCACTAAAACGCGATTTTATTTTAAAATAAGCCCTTTCATTGGCACACAAGTAACAATACGAGGTTTCTAAACCACTATTTCAACAATAAACGTCGATGTAATATTTTTGTCCTTTTAACAACAGTTTTTCGAGCGGCACTGCAGCTTACGCAGGGATTTCGTGAACACATATGTGATAATGTGCAATAGTCCTAACGCATGCATTATAAACATTCAAAATAAAAAGAATTGGAACTCAAATGAAAAGCACTTGTTTATTAAACAGAATTAGCATGTAATTTAACCAGTCAGGATGCAGCCACATGCCGTCTAGTCAGAATCACTAATCGAGAGGTCTAACTGGGAATTTGTCGCAGCCACTGAAACGACCCTTCAAAAGCGCATTCTCCTCAGTTCAGTCGAGCGTCTTAACGTGCCCAATTTTCTTGGTTGGAGAAACTAGGTCCCATATGGCATAGCAATACCGGAGGGACTTGCCGTATTTACGTGATTCTAAGCACCCCCGAGTCTAAGCTACCTCCCTTCTATGTCACTATAAATATTTTGGAAAAAAAAGTTGGCTTGCGTATCTAAGCATCCCTCTTTTTTTTTTCTTTTCTGCGAACGCGACGCAGTCAGGGCGGCTAAGCGCACCCTATCGTCGCTGATTTCGGAAGCTGCCATGTCGTATGTTGCTAGGTTTACACAAGAGATTGATTGATAGATATGTAGGGTTTAACGTCCCAAAACCACTATATAATTATAGAGAACGCCGTAGTGGAGAGCTCCGGAAATTTCGACCACTAGGGGTTCTTTAACGTGCACCGAAACCTGAACACACGGGCCTACAACATTTCCACTTTCATCGGAAATGCAGCTGCCACAAGCCGGGATCGCGACACACACAAGAGGTCGCGGAACAAGAGTCGGCAGCCAATACAATCTGCAAGTCTGGGCAGGTGGTTCTGGGGAGTTGGCATGCGCAGCACGTTTCTTTGTCAGTTTTTCGATAGCCCTGAAATGAGGCAAAATGAGTGCAAAGAGGGCATCCTACAACTTGAACTTCAAGCAAGCTGCGATAGCGTTTGCCGAGGACAATGGCAACCGCAGTGATAATACAGAATTCGGCGTGGACCGAGCCTGTGTCATCAAGTGGAGGAAGCAGCGGCACGAGATATTCTAGAATGACCCGCAAGAAATTCACGGGACCGCGCCGACACCACCAACTCGAAGAGGAAATCTGCGAGTTTGTTCGCAGCGAAAAAAGCAGGGGCTTCGCTGTCACTGCCGATGCCCTTCAGACGAAGGCAATAGAGATCGCGAAGAGAATGGAGATTTCCCGCGCCATGTTTCGTGCTAGTTGTGGCTGGGCGTAGTGCATGATGCGAAGAAATGGATTTTCTTCGAAACGCCGGACCACGATATGCCAAAAGCTGCCTAGTGATAACAAACTCGTTGCTTTTCAGCAACGTGCGCTGGATCTTCGCAGACTAAACAGCTACAACTTTGGCCAAATCGGCTACGCCTGATGAGAGGCCCTTTTTTCTATATGCCGAGAGCAAGCATCGTTAACGAGATAGGAGCCCAGGAAGTGAGGGTGAAGACGACAGGGTTATGAGAAGCAGCGTGTCACAGTCATGTTGTGCATTACAGCTGACAGCCCCAAGCTTCCACCCTAGGTATCTTTGAAGAGGAAAAACATGCTTAAAAATGAGTGATTTCTGAAGGATGTCATCGTCTGAGTCCATGAGAAAGGATGGATGACAGCCGAACTAATGGAAGATTAGATCCGGGTTTGTGGCAGCGGTGCCCTGAGGCACTGCTTGGGGGAGCTGCAGGTACGCGGTCCATGCTTGTCCTAGACGCGTTTCGTGGCCACCTCACCCCGGATGTGAAGACCAAGCTCCTAAAGAGCAACTGCGACTTGCTCGTGATTCTAAGAGGAATGACACCAGTGCTACAACCCCTAGGACGTCTCGGTAAACAAGCCGTTCAAGGCCCTCCTTCGACAGGAGTACGAAGAGTGGATCCCGAACCCCCGACTGAAAAAAACGCCGATGGGAAAGTTGCAGACAGCATCCCCGTCCACCATGGCAACATGGATTTCGGATGCGTGGAAACAAATCAAAGCAAACGTTGTCGCAACGTCGTTCAAGAAAAGTTGCATCACACACAACTTGGACAGCATCGAAGATGATCTGCTGAGAGACACATAGAGTGGCGGCTCGAATAGTGCAACGAACTTGAGCGGCAGTGATAGTGACTGACCTCATACACAAGTGGTGGGTTCACTGTGTGAACCTATTTTTCTTTTAGTTTTTTTTTTCATTATTATTAAAATGCAATTTCTCGCATTAACCCTGTTGATATGCTGTTGCAAAAGGGGGTAGGGCTGTGCGGTCATTTTTCGAATCTAAGCACCCCCCTAACTTTTAACATCACAATCGTGAAAAAAGGGGGGTGCTTAGAATCGAGTAAGTACGATAAGTGTTCGCACATACTGCAAAGGCCTTCTTTAACGGCAGGAAACTTCCATCAGCAAGTGCGCACTCTTTTGCTTTCAACTGTAGTGATCACGCTGATGGTCACACATTTAACGTAACGCTGAAGTGCTTGGCGGCAGCAACGAATCCCATTTTCTTTGGTAAACTTTTTAACAGGGAACTTTAATTTGACCACATATATATTGTAGCCCATTGTAAGAGAGCAGTAAAATGATGATGGGCGGATGGTGAAACCTCAAGTTCTGAAATCAACTAAGTGTGCGTTGCATGCAAAGAATCAGGGAACAGTTCGTATAAAAGGGCAACAAGCCCTTGCACGCCTCAGATGCAGAAAGCCGTCCCGCTGCAGAAAGATTGCCTAACTTTGGCACTTATGCTGCATTAAGCTGAAAATGATAACTAGGCATGACATGGTCGCAGATATACACTAGCTGGGTTCTTGAATGTGCCCTCTCCTTAAAATTACTGTATGTTATTTTTAATAGGAAAGAGTTAATGCCACCTTGACATGGGAGCTCAAAAAAGAACTCCTTTCTTTTGTTATTTAGTCCCTTCTTAGAGTAAAAACCTGCCAAATTTGGTACCATTCATGACGCACCAAGACATGCAAACTAAGCAGAACATAGAATTAGAAGTATGTTTTGTACTCTGATAAGCTCACTGTCATTGACAACTCAAAATTTTACAATTTGATACAATCGCAAGTGTAGTCCTTACAGCAGCATCACTGTGTACCTGAACAGGCCACACAAACACATAAATTAAAAATTTTTCTTATGCATCTAATTCTGATTGTCTATCGAAACTTGCTCAATGACATCAGCTAAGACATCATTTTAATAGTAACAGCATATTTTTAGATTACATAGATGTGAACACGTCAATTATGCATCAAGACATTTTCAACTCGTAAAAGGTAGTTAAAAAGCCAACAACAGTGCCAGTTTTAAACTGTTTTCATTGACCCAAACAAAGCAATAACAGACACTACTGCCATTGTTCGATGTCACACACGCACACGCATATGTACACTAAGTGCACAACCAAAGCCACCGGTGTTACAAACACTAACAAAAAAACCAGTGCAAATTAGCATTCAAACTGCCACCACAAGCAGCACACCCTCAAACCAGCCAAAGCGCAAAGCTGCAGCCCAGTGTTGCCAAGTTCACACAGCGTGGGACGGGGATGTAGGAAAGATATGGTACTAACATCAGCCGACATGGGGGCGCACAGACAGCTGGCATCATCCCACGGCGCTTCATTTTTTGCTCTTCTTCCAAAATTTCAGCCGTAACTGACAAGGCAAAAAAGAAGAGACCAATGCAAAAACCAAACTGCTGCACACCGTAGATGTGCTTGTCCAATAATGAGCAGAAAGAAAAAGAAATGAAGAAGGAACAGTACAACATACCTGCTTCACAAGTGGAACCAAAAAGAGATGCACGACTTTCTACAGACTGCTGTTTCTACTAATGCTAATCAATCTACAAAATAATGACAAGGCAAAAAAGAAGAGACCAATGCAAAAACCAAACTGCTGCACACCGTAGATGTGCTTGTCCAATAATGAGCAGAAAGAAAAAGAAATGAAGAAGGAACAGTACAACATACCTGCTTCACAAGTGGAACAAAAAAGAGATGCACGACTTTCTACAGACTGCTGTTTCTACTAATGGTAATCAAGACTGCTGTTTCTACTAATGGTAATCAATCTACAAAATAATACAACACAGACACTGTGCCAAAACAATTAGTCAACCAGGTTGTTCAAGCTTAAGTTACTTGAAAATTCTCTATATAGCATGCAAACACATTTTCCAGGCACGACACTTGGGCTAAAACAAGCTAAGCTTCTGAAATATGATGCGTACACTCATGCTATGTTAGCAGGTATTGACAACACTGGGCTTCATAGTTTAGACTGCCTGCTGACACATCAATGTTTCACCACCAAAGAGCATGTGCCTGTCACGCTAACATACAGCCATCATCAACCAGACAAATGAAGTCAATGCAGACAGGCTCATAACCTAGTTGTCAAGTCATAACTTTGACATGACAAGCAGCTCTTGCAACTTACTGCAGCATTTGCACACACTCCACATAGAGCAAAATCTTCCTTATCCTAAAATTTACTTTTCTTTATGATACTTGCATATAGCCTTAATGACAAGTAAATGCACTCTTGGTATAACTTCTTTAGTGCGCACAAAATACAGGACAAGAAAGAGACAGACGAGTGCTAAAAAAGTTATATAATAGAAACATACCAACTCGCTCAGCTATCTGTTTTACTGAATGCACTATTTTTTTTACTTGAGTGTAGCAAGATTTGAGTGTATTAAGTAAGAAGAAGTAAAAACCTTCTGAGTGAGAAGCGTTTAATTTGAGCACTATGTAGAGAGAAACCAATGTTTTATTATAGGAGACCATTGCGAACATTTTGGGTGGTGAGTACTGAAGCAATTTTTTGTGCATGGCATTTGCTGAAATCAGCTTTTTAATACAGTTCTAGTGTAAACTGCATGAAAATGTTCACTCAGACTGATCAAAGAATTCAACCGACTGGTACTGCGAGTAACTAGCAAGAGCTGGCTGTGAAATGTGCAGAAAATTTTCAGCCAGCTTGGGTGCATGCCCCAATGCAAGTACTGTTGTGCTGATTGGAATTATGCCACTTGGATGTACACCAGCAGATAAGTAGAGTACGCTAAGTTTTTAAAATGAAAATTCTGTGCTTGCCATGCTTTTTTTTGAACTACTAGATCACCCTACCTATCCAGCCTCTGATGTTGTATCCTGTATGACGCTGGCGCATAGATGTGTATAGATAAGCTGGAATTCTCCTAAAGCCATGCCCTCAAGAGGCTAGACAATGTAATGTTAAGTGTGATTGCACCTTGAACAAGTAATTGCAGCATATTTCATAACCCTAGCTTTAGTTCCTACTGTACCCTGTCATGAAAACACCATACGAGCTTCGGGACAGGTGCTCGTGCAAGGTATTGTGACGTTTCCACGACTGCACGGCACCAAGGCTTCGTTGATAATGCATAAGCGGCTATTTTGAATGTGTTTGTGATGTACAAGAGGCCTTTATAGAAGTGTTGGTGTCTGACTTCATTGCAACTAGCTTGACTGCTGTGTGAAGCCACCAGAATTCATACTGCCACGTTCCTTCCTCAAGTTTTGTTATCACCCCGTTAGATTGTACGTAATTCTCAGTGTAAACCGCGGCTGCAGTGTTCGAGAAGCTTCGGGATTGTAGTAGATTATATCGTAAAGACAATACCCAGTCCACGACCATTACAGATTAATCTGGAACCTATGTGGCCGCCAGCGATAACGCTAGAATATTCTACGACACGTGTACAAATGTCGCAGCACTTCGCCGCTAGTCAGTTGATCGATGGCCAACGCTCTATTCGCCACTATCAGCACCCGTGTATTGTTGTAATCTTACTTACAGTTTCCTTGCCACATGTTCAGCTGAATAAACAGTTTCATCTTAGTACCGAGTCTGATCCCTTTGTCTCCGTGACGACCCCATGACATCTGGTAGAGGTGCAGCCTCTTTTATGTACTGGACGCCACCGTCGAGCCGTGAATTCAGCCCAAGTCGAAAGGAAGACGTCGACGCCAATCCTGAACAATGAACAAGCCGCCCGCAAGTGGGTCTGCCGCTTGAGTATGCGCTTCTACCACTTGGCCCAAATTTTCCCAATGCTCTTTGTCACTGGTTCCCATGACCAGAATATCGTCAAAGTACACTTCGATATGATTAAGATCATGCAAAATATTTTGCATCTCTTGCTGAAACATAGCCGGAGCTGATTAAACCTCGAATAGCAGCCTTGTGAGTCAATATAACCTCCTTGGAGTGATAATGGTAACTAGCTCTTGGCACTCCTCATCGAGTGGCATTTGCTGGTAGGCGTCTGGCAAGTCAAGCTTTGTGAACGTCTTGCTCCCTGTAAGTCGCGCAGAAAGCTCCTCAATCCTAGGAAAGGACTCGACCACTGTCACCATGTTTATAGTAGTCTTAAAATCGCCGCCAACACCCCCACCCTCTCCCCGAACCCAGCCGTCACGCTTTAATGCAGGAACAATGGGTGCGGAACACCGAGAAGTTTTCACCGCTTCGTTAATGCATTTTTGTTCCCTCCTCCGTGATTCTTCAAAAACCCGATGACGAAATGCAAGTGGTATTAAATTGCCTTGACGAAACGTGGCTTCACACCATTTTGTATGGATACAGAAGCTGCAAGGCCGTGAAACGTGCCAAGCTGCTCTGAAAAAACTCTGCAATACTGGCCTACCAGGTTTTCTGTAGACGTCACGACGTCAATTCCCTCCTACTGAGCGATGCTTAGCTTGAAGGCCTTCATCCAGCTTCGTCCAAAAGTGTAGGACACGCCCCTTTCATGACAAATAGTAGTAGCTGGCGCTCCTCGTCAACAATTTTGACCAGCCTCCAGCTTTCACTAGACACGCTTCTTGTCACCGAAAATAGTTCTTCGCTGCACACTCGATGATTCCAACAACACCGACAGGAAAAGCCCGGCAAGCCGTCATCGATGCTGAACAGTAGCGCTGGTGTCCAACTCCATATCGAGCACTACGCCATTAACTTCAGCCACAATGTAAATTGGCTCCGAACTAGGTGTGTGAAGCATCCACAGCTCAAAAACTTCAGGCTCTTCAGCAGAGGCAGGCAAATCACCCAGGTTGTTCACGTGGCTAGACCGGCTTTGATTAGACTAGCTCCGGTCAAAATTTCCACTCCCCGGCTGAATTCTGCAAACTGTTGCAAGGTGCCCTGTTTGGCGGCAGTTGTGACAGATCGTGCCGCCGTGTCTACACCAATGCGAAGAATGACGTCCCCTGGAACGAAAGCGGCAGCTATCATTTTTCCCTGAGGCGGCAACATTCAATTGCTTCGGAGCTTTGTCAGATAGTAGCTATGCCTGGTGACAACTCAATGCACGTGAATCTTTACACGCAGCCTCCATAGCTACGACAGTGTCCTTCAAGTTTAAAAGGTTAAACACATCGTTTCAAGCAGCTGTGTTTGCATGGTTACGTCATAGATTTTGCTGACTATCTGGCCAAGCAGCATGCACTCCCAAAATATTGTAAAATTGCAGTCTTCAGCAAAATTTTTTAACGAGCCTACAGTCTTCCCACTCTTTTCGATGCCTCGAGAAAAACTTGAAACTTGCCATTACTTCCGATACACGAGGGGCATAGAGCTTGCCAAGTGTGACGAAAATTTCGGTCAGTCCTGCTTAGTGCTAGGAAGCCTCGTAGCAAAGAATAAGTTTCTGGACCGCAGCGTGTCAAAAATACAGCTGTCTGCTTGTCCAATGGGAAGTAGTTCGCGATAAAGTACAGCTTGGCTCGCTCACGGTGTTCCGCCCACTCCGATGTACTCGTGTCAAATGAATCCAGCTTCCCGACGACAGGCATGACTATGTATGACTATGCTGTGCCTGTCCCGTTTGTCAGTTGACCTCGTTCGCTACTCGTAATAATCAGCGAAGTCCTGGGCCATGCCAGGCGCTAGAGGGAATCACACACACGTACGTTGGCAGGGTTCTACACCGACTGGCTAGTCATGTGCGTGTATTTATATAATCTATATCAGTGTACTATCAATGCCCCTAGGGTGCCGGAATGAAAAATTATCTTATCAAAGGGATCATTGCAGGGTGGGTAAAAAAACATCACACAGTTGTGGAGTTCAAAAACACTCAAGTATGTTCACGCAGCAGTGCCAGCACATTCATAGCCCCCGTCTTGTTGTGAGGAATAATAAGCATCAGGGGGAAAGATCAACACAAGCATCCAAGTCATTCTATTTATGAACTACGGAAGGAAAAAATCATTTAGCATAGACAAGTATGAGAGATGACCTCACGGACTTTTTTTCAATTTTTAATATCATTTCTATGTGATACATAGAAATACATGGAAATAGGCTCATCGTGCATAAACTTTTCTTAACACATATTTTATCACAAAGAAAACAAAGTAAAAAGTTGGCCCCGTATCTGCATGTTAGTCTGCAAATGTCGTCGAAAGACGATAGTCTTGGGTGTGGAGAGAGTGAACAAAACATTGATGTTCTGTGCAAGGAAATCGGTGAATGGTATTGTGGAGGCGCTGCGTTAGAGTACCCCGAGCATGCAGGGGAGGCTAACGGCGCATCAAGTTACGTCACACGTAGACATGAGCGCCATTTGGCAGTTTTCTTGTAAAATGAAGTGAGTTGCTCTGAGATGGGTGTGCGCG